ATTCATGGTGTCCCAAAATAGCTGACCTTAACTTTGTCTAATGAAGTATTAAAGAATCATTTTTAGTATATTAAGTACAAAATTAGTGTGTGAAAATAGAGCACTTTAAGTACATTATGGAAGTGTTAAGATGTACTTAGATGGCATACAACGATCAAACTGAGAAGCGCAAACAACCAATAATCTGCTTATTTTAGGCAATTTAGAGATCCTGTGCAGAATGTGTCCACCGGAAGTGGCACGTCTGGTCACCTTATTTTAAACCTGCAGTATGTACGGAAGTACACTTTTTTTAACCTGGGCAGTGTGAATGAGAATGGAGGGAGCGATAAAGCCTCAATAAATAGGCTGCTGCTGATGAACTGATGACAGACGAGTGATTTACTGTGTGATTGGCAGCAGAGACTCGAGCTCTGCAGCACAGATGGCTGAAAGATCCAGGCAGACGCGATGGCACGAGATGAGAGGGGCCTTTTAAACTAAAACAAATAAAACTACTTTACTTTACCCTCACACAGATACATAAACAGTCACACACACACACACACACACACACACTCGCACTGATTCAGAGAAGCGACACGTGATGACACACACACACACACACACACTCGCACTGATTCAGAGAAGCGACGCGTGATGATGACACACACACACACACACACACACACACACGCACAATGCGGCCTTTGTTGCCGATGTGTGGTCATCCATTTAGGGGCCAAAGCTGACTGGACTCTGGAGCCGTGATAACTCCAGTGCAGGTGTGTTGCTCAAAGGGAAACAGATTCTCATTGATTCTTTAATTTTACCCCAAACATAGCCTGAGGAAAAGAAGCAATAAGCACCTGAACGTTCGTTTATTTCAATGCTGGCTGATTGTGTTTGTACTGCAATGTTTATGCCATAAGTGTCAGTGTGAAATGACATTTTGTTTTGATCTGGTGTATGAATGTCTCTGCGTGTGTGCGTACCTGCTTAACCATATTTTGGAGACGAATTTGTGAGCTAAACTCGACAAAACCTCATTTCAGAAACATATGCGCTGATAAAAACTGTATAAAAATAAAGTCAATGGTAAAAAAAAAAAGCAGAACGTTTTCTGTTAGGATTAGGGTGTGGATTATTTGTTATAGTATTTCTAACTATATGAAAACAATAGAAGTCTATGCAATGTTCCCATTTAAGTAAACGTGTGTGTGTGTGTGTGTGTGTGTGTGTGTGTCTGTAGGTGAGCGCTAGGGAAGAGGAGAGGCGTGAGAGAGAGATAGAGAGGAAGAGAGGGATGAGAGGATGTGGGATTACATGAAAGAACGGAGTGGTCATAAATTTAGCTCAGACAGACGAATAAAACTCTCGCTATCCTCCCAGTCCCTTTGGTTTTTCCTCAAGGGGTAAGAGCACACACACACACACACACACACACACACACCCATAGTGTAGCCAGTAAAGGTCTTTTGTACTCTCTGTAAAAAAAACATGTGACACCATACAGTCGTACCCCAGAGAAATAAATAGTATTAAATAAATATAACAGACATATACACACATACAGAAATCACTGTACAGACTGTACACAAACACTCCTATTTATACACCCTCTCATCTGCATTATAACTCATGGTCATGTGTGTAGAAAAAAAAAGGAACTGTGGTGGTACCATGGTAAAAGAATGGTAATAATGTAGTACTTATATATATATACTGTATATTAACAGACTGTATGAATATCATATTAACACACAATGGCATTCCAAGGTACAGTACGTTTAAGAATACCATGGTACACTATGTCAAAAACCATACCATTTTACTGATTGATTGCCATGCTGTTCAAAAACACAATAATACCATGGTACTTTGATATATACCATGGTACATTTCCAAAAATGTTGTATTATGGTACTTTTTTTGTATCACACATTCTTGGAGGTACACTGGGGTTTCAAATAAATACCTCGGTATATTATTACATACTGTGGTATTTACGTGACGTAAAAGCATGGGAATATGGTACTGACTGGTTACTATTTTCACATACCATGGTATTTGCATGTTACTCCAAACTACTTTACTACTATTACCATGGTACCATTCCAAAAAACACAACCCTTTGATACCGTGGTACAAAATTATTACCATATTCACATATCATGGTATTCACATAGTACTCAATGTTTCTACAAAAATACCATGGTATTACGATTGTACATTTAACAAAACAACAACATAGTATTACCATGGTGCCATCCCCAAATCATAGTGATACCATAGTACTTTAAAAAATACCATCGTACAAAATTATGATCGTATTCACTTACCATGGTATTTACATAGTACTCATTGTTTCTACAAAATACCATGGTATCACCATTGTACATTTCTAACAACAACAAAACATAGTATTACCATGGTTCAATGTTCAAAAACATAGCAATGCCACAGTACTTTGAAATATACCATAGTATTAAGTTTTTACCATATTCACATACCATGGTATTTACATAGTACCCAATGTTTCTACAAAAATACCATGTTATTACTATTTTACATTTCTAAAAAAAAAACCTAAAAAACAGTATTACCATGGTTCAGTGCTCAAAAACATAGTAATGCCAAAGTACTTTGAAATATACCATGGTACTAAATTATGACCTTATCCACATACCATGATATTTACATAGTACTCATTGTTTCTACAAAAATGCCATGATATTACCATTGTACATTTCCAGCAAACATAATATCACCATGGTACCATGCTTAAAAATATTATGAAGTTTTTGTATAACATACGTTCATATGTTTCCTTTTCTGTTCGCACACACGCCATCTGAACATCAGATTTGTGCATGTGTTTCCAAATGTGTAGGAGTGTATTTGTGTGTCTGGAAAAAGACGAGTCAGTGTCCGTGAGGCATTACTGACTGGCAGCAAAAATCTCTCCATTGTTTCTTTGATTATGCCACATTTCCTCCACTTTTGCCCGTTGACCCTTTCACTGCTGCATGACGCCGAGCATGATTCACTTTCCTTCTGCTGAATCACGTCTGGCTCTCTCAAAGAGCGCTCTCTTGCCTTTGTCCGTGACGTACTGGCGGCTCTTTACTGTTTGGTGGTTTAGTGCAAAGCGTGACCATCTGAGATCCTCAGATCTCCATCCACAGAGCGTGAATCAGTCTGTTTCCAAAGCTAGCGAGCTGATCTCCCCACGCAGATTTCGCAACAGGTTCAATTCGCTCGTGCAAATTAACCATTGGTCCAACAGAGAACTGCTTGGTTTGAAAGTGACTTCTGTGTGAGCTGTGAAGAATTGTGCTATATATAATAAACACAACTCATTTTATACACTGCATATGTGGCCCTGGAGCACAAAAGCAGCGTTAAGTCGCTGGGGTATATTTGTAGCAATAGCCAAAAATACATTGTATGGGTCAAAATTATAAATTTTTCTTTTATGCCAAAAATCATTAGGATATTAAGTAAAGATCATGTTCCATGAAGATAGTTTGTAAATTTCCTACTGTAAATATATCAAAACTTAATTTTTGATTAGTAATATGCATTGCTAAGAACTTCACTTGGACAACTTTAAAGATGATTTTCTCAATATTTTTTTTTATTTAGATTTTTTTGCACCCTCAGATTCCAGATTTTCAGATAGTTGCATCTCAGCCAAATATTGTCCTATTACAACAAATTAATTAATTTATTATTTATTTAAAAATGTATTTATTTATTTATTAAAAATGTATTTCAATAAATAAAATAAAAAAATATGTATTACAATTTATTTTATTAAAATTACATTTATTTATTTATTAAGCTTATTTATTCAGCTTTCAGATGATGTATAAATCTCAGTTTAAAAAAACTGACCCTTATGACTGGTTTTGTGCTCCAGGGTCACATATACTGTACACTTTAAAAGAGACACACATGTAGATGTTTGTGAAAGATGTTTTCTCTAATTTGTGAAGATGAACATTGTTAAATTGCCTTATTTATTGCATCAAAATGTGTTCATACTTTGCTATAGGTTAGGAGTGGATCATTTTATTATTTGTTTGCTACTCACGCAACTGTATTTATTACTGTAATAATTTTCATTAGTAAGCATTGCTATCTGATAAGAACTTTGTCATGTGTTCTTATGAATGTTTTAGCATGACTTTGTGAAAGGAATGAAATAGCCGAGCTTTCTTCATGGCCAACATCTGCATATTTGCCACATTTCATTCTGTAACCTACATGTTATACAGATCTCTGTACTAGCGTTATTACACTAGTGTTTTTGGTACTGTTTCTTACAGATAATAATATCATGATGATCATTGCATTTGTCTCATCGAATGTGGTATCTGGTCAGCAATAACGTGGCCTTGCTCTCTATGGGCTTTTTTATGTTATTATTATCATTATTGTCAGTGCCGGCGATGCAGTGTTGCCAGGTATTGCTACGCTAGCAAATAAAAACAAGCCCCTCAAAAATAGCATAAACCAAAAAAAGTTAAAGATAAGGATATCACTAACCCTAAACTGCAACTTCCCACTTTTTTAACTTCCGAAAGCATCACAATTAGTGGAAAAAACAAGTCTGATGACACTTATAAAAACTGGATCTGGCAACACGGCTCTGTTCACACCCTTATTTAAAATTCTCTCTCAATCTGCATTCACATGATTTGCTCTGAACAATCTAGGCAAACCGTCTAAATTGATTTAGACATGCAGACACTCATAAAAGGAGTTTTAAAGTGCTAATTAGTCATTCAGAGAACTACTGATTCTATTTTTGAATATGAACAATGGTTTTAAGTCAGTTATTTCTATCTTTTGCTGTAGTGTGTCCGTAGGAGATATCAGTTTACATTTCCAAACCTTCATTTTGCCATTAATTATATAATACAGTGAGATACCTACAAAAAGATAATTGACTTAAAACCATTTTTAGCTGCTGAAAATATTAGTGTTCTAATCATTTTGGCCACCACTGTACATCGCAATTAACGTTTTTGGTTTGCGAAATTTTGCTAGAAGGCAGCTCACTAGGTTTTGAAGCAAAGCCGTTGTTTGGGTCTCAAACGCGCAGTCGTTTCTTCAGTCTGGTGAAGTCTTTGGCGGATCTCCAAAGCCAGCTCTGCAGCTCTCTCAGTACCCAGAATCCCTCCACTTTCCGCGAGAAGTCATTCGATGCAGGACGAGACGACAACACGGGGGCCGCCAGCAAAGTGTGAACCTCAGTGGCCGACCCTCCGTACTGATAAAGCAGCGAGAGAGGAGAGAGTCCGGCGTGCGTGGACCGAATAGCTCGACGATGCTGTAGAGACACCGGTGAAAAAAGCACAGGCTGCTTTCCGAATTTTAAAGCTGTGTAGTTCATGTTGAGTTTCAGGATGTTCTCTTCATCCACGCTCAACAGTCTTCTCCGTTTCCCCCATCTCTCCATTCCTTCCTCTTTCTCTCTCTCCTCTCTGGCAGCCCAGCTCTCTCCTTCTTTTCTCCGTCCTCTCCTGCCCCTCTTCAGATCTGCCCGAGTCGTTCCCTCTCTCGCGCCCCGAGGCTCGTAACTCCGCAGAGGAGCAGGGCTGTTCTGAAACTGTGAGGACAGAAGTGGAGCGTATCCTTGAGCGGGTGTGGAGGGCGGGAGGCTGGTGTAACCCAGGGCGTTCATCAGGCCAGATATGGAGCCCAGCAGCCCACTGAGGCCGGAGCAGAAGTGCATGAGCGAGCTCTGGAGATACGGACACAGGGTGGAGCGCGCCAGCTCCCTCACGGCACACAGGAGAATGCTGTAGGCCCGCTGGTTCTGCGCCAGACGGGCGCCGTTCTCCAGCCCGCGCCACAGATCCACCCGTGTGGCCGCGCTGGGCACAGACAGAGAGGAGCTGTTGGGTCGTGGAGGAGAGAAGCCGGGATCGCTGAACGGAGGCCCCAGATAGGACAGCTGAGGAGAGAATCCAGAGAAGAGGAGACAACATATTAGATCGGTTCTGTTGCATATACAATTATATTAAAGACCCCTTCAGAATCTGAGTTTTGTTATTTATATTTCAGTGCTTTCTGGAATACCCCCAACAGTCAGGCCCGGTTCTACAGGGTTGCTAGAGGGTGCAAGGCACCCTCAAACGAAATCAATAGCACCCTCACTTAATTAAAGCTGTATTAATGGCACTTCGTTGCAGATTTGGCGTTTGCCAGTGCGCTATGGTTTGGAGATCGGTTTCTATTTCAACATGTTTTGCAGCGTTGAGCAATGTAGCCAATCACAGACATATCTGTTTTGTTTTTTTTAATCAGAGGCGTTTAAGTTAGAATCCACTCACCGCTAAAGTCGCCGGAGATTTTTGTTCAGGTGTTGTGTTCAGCACGAATCATCTCATTATAACAAAGTGTAGACGCGATGTAAATAAGAGATTCGTTGATTAAAAAGTATCTTTGTGAGATCGCAATGAACTAAGATGAGTGACAGCTTTTAGTGATTATACGGAGCGCTCTTTGCGCCATAGCAATGGACGGACGCTACTAATATATATATATATATTAAAGCACCCTCACTAATTTAAGCAGCACCCTCAGTGATTTGATTCTGGAGTCTGCCAACAGTGCACATTTTGCATGTCTCCTTAAAGCTGCAGTCCGTAATTTTTGCCTCTTTGTTGCCATCTCTGTTTGAAACCTGCAATTGCAGTTATTTTGCAGAATTATTTTCTTAACGTGGGTCGTTCACCGGCACGACTCCAGCTGGATGAATCTAATGTTTTGAGTGTGTGTGGCTGTCAGTCACCGCACCGGTGTGGATACTGTACTTAAGGCCCTGATATACTCAAAACAAAGTTCATTTTCGTTCTTCGTTTAGGGGTAAAATTAATTTTGAAATACGTGAGCAGCGGTATACTGTTAGCGAACATCCCGACGCCACCCAGTCTGATGAAAGCAACATTTAAATGAATATGTAAATATGTGCTGCGCGCGTTCCTCTCAGTAACAAAATAAACACAACAAAAATGGAGAAAACGGCAAGCATTTCTTTGCATTGAGCATTGATCATAGCAACATGGGTATGTTTGCACGAGCTCTGCAAATAGCACTCCCGTGAAGTCACGTCACGTGTATTTACATGGGACTTTATTCAATATATCAAATCAGTATATCAGTATCGGCAGTATTAAACATGAAAAACAGTATCAGTGTCTCGTTTCATCAGAAGCACTTTACACAGAACTTTATTTTCTACTAGGCTATAAAGCGGCTCTCCAATGTGTTCATGTTTTTTTTTTTACCCGTGGACAAATGAACTCAGAGAACAGTTCTGCGTAAAAGAAGGCGGAGCCTCAGCGCACACCTCCTATGATGTAATCGTCACGGACCAATGGTAGTACAAAGGTGTTTTGCAGTCGGAACGAACTTTTCCGGAAAGTTCGCTTTGGCAAGCAGTTTTGAACTCCCAAAACGAACTTAGTTTTGGCCGGATTTTGTTCGAAATGAGGTCACATCAGTTCGATTTCATTTGAAGTATATCTGGGCCTTCAGGAATCACGGATTCTAGCCTATGTCTTGAAATATATGACCGAAATAAGAATTTTCACCGGATATTGTCATCTGAACAAGTAAGTAACAAGTCTGCCACTTTTGTTCTGACCAACTGAGGAAAAAAGCATTACAATAAATTGCGCTACAATGGTGATTAAATGTAACGATCTGTTAGCTCATATCACATCAAACTGTGCAAATTATTATTACTGTTATACTTTGTTCTCAACGTGTTAACAACGTGTATGTAGTGTGTATTAGTGTTACATGTAGATTTCTGTACAGTCTAATCTCTAATTGTCATACCATTCGAATTTCATATAAAGAAATTGTTTTAACCCAAAAAGCTCACTATGCTCCCTTCGAACTGGTTGTCTTTAAAATACAAATCTTGTGTAATCCCACATAGGATATCTGTATCATATCAGATGCACATTTAAAACTGGAATATAATTTCGGTCACTTGTGTTACTTAAACACACTTTTTGGATTACAATACGCCATCAAAATGATAAGGTTAATTATTTCAGCTGCTGTGAGAAAAGGCTATGAACGAAGGCTATACATTTTTAACCAACAAAAGTAACCGACTGCAGTTTTAATCAGACACATCTGATTCAGATCATCAGCTCATTAGTAGAGACTCCAAGACCTGAGACGGGTCAGACAAAGGATACATGCAAAATATGCAGTGTTTAGGGTTTAATAACCACTGTTCTAGTGCACTCTTAAAGGGACAGTTCACCCAGAAATAAAAATTCTGTCATTTACTCATCCTCCAATTGTTCCAAACCTGTATAAGTTTCTTTCTTCTGCTGAACACAAAGTCACGTTAAAAATGAAAGTTCTTTATTGTTGTTGATGGTTCCATAGAATCTTTCCATTGCACAAGCTTCTCTATAGTGGAAAAAAGTTCTTCAGATTATTTAAATGCTCTTCACACTAAGAAAAATAATGGTTCTTTTAAGAACTGGTCACTGAAAGGTTTTTTGGGGAACCAAAAATGTTCTATTGCATTTCTACAAAACCCCCCGTTTTGGAAGCTTTATATTTAAGACTGTACTCCTATAAGATGACTAAATTAACATATTGAAAACCAGAGCTCATATAATATATTTTTTGTAAGTAAAATGCTCTCTAGAGTATGGAACTTTGTTTCCACCACTGAATAAAATCTTGCAATTACTAGTTTACATCTCGCGAATGAGATATAAACTTGCAGTTGTGAGTTATAAAGTCAGAACTGGGTGATATGGTCGCAAATGCATGTTATAAAGTCAGACTTTTCTTCACAGAATTGCAAGTTTATATAGTAATTCTGACTTTATAACATGCAATCGTGAGTTATAAAGTCTATATACTTGCAATTGTATGAAAATAGTATTTTTTTTCCTCAGAATTGGACTTTGTGAGTTTATATCTCACAATTCTGAGAAAAGAAGTCAGAATTGCCAGAAAAAGTCAGAATTGTGAGCTGAAATCCTCCAATTCTGACTTTATAACTTGCAATTGTGAGTTTATTTCATGCAATTCTGGGAAAAAGCAAGAATTGTGAGATGCAAACTTGCAATTGTGAGAAAAATAGTCACAATAACTTTTTTTTTTTTTTAATTCAGTGGCAGAAACGGGCTTCCATGCTAGACTGAGGATATCCTTTTAAATATTACATGCATCTGTCTCCGATGGGAAAGTAGCAGATTAGTGGATGCTGGTTGTTTGTGTTTCTTTTGTTGTCCTGTTACGGATAGTTCCACCCAAAAATGAACATTCTGTCATCGTTTACTCACCCTCATGTTGAGCCAAACCTGTATGACTTAGTTTGTTTTGTGGGACATGAAGAAGACACAATGGAAAATAAATGGTAACCAAAAACTGTTTGGTTACCAACATGCTTCAGAACGTCTTCTTTTTTATGTTCCACTGAAGAAATAAAGTCACATGGGTTTGAAACTTCATGATTTGATTTCAGGTTTTTGATTGGACTTTGAAATGTGGGCGTTTCATTCAAAGTGGAGGCACATGAGTGAGAGTTTTTAGGAGTTTACGCGCAATAAATGATCAGACAATTCTGCATGCGTGACCAGAGAGAAGTCTATCATTTCACTGGAAGATCCAGTTGTGACATCAACTAGTTGCTTATTAGCATGCATGTTACTAGCATATTGGTTGTTTATTAGTATAAAGCACGTCTTATTCTGCATGACCATATTTTTTATCTCTTAATCCACCCCATACCTAATTTTAACAGCTACCTTACTATTAACAACCAGCAAATTAGGAGTTTATTGAGGCTAAAGTCATAGTTAATAGTGAAACTGGTCCCCAAACTAAAGTGTGACCAGCATCACAGATGAGTTGTTCACAGTAAGATCTACTGTATAATATGCATTTAGTAAACAGACAAGGTGAATTTACATTGCATGCCATCATTAAGTTAACTAAAAGCTAGTTAAAATAAGGATAAGCCCTGATGTGTCCCTTCACAACGACCTGTTTCAATAGCAGCAAGTAAACACATAAATACTGTACATAAAAGTAAAACTAATACCAAACAATTTACACCATACTAGACAAAGAGTAGGTGAGATAGGAGATACTAAAAACAACTACACTGCAAAAAATTATTTTCTTTTTTTTTGTCTTGTTTTCTAGTATAACAAATTCTTGAATCAGGATGCATTTACTTAACAAGTAAAATTACTTAAGATATTATGTCTTGGTAACTGAAAATATTATCCAAATTTTGTTAGTTTTTGCTTAATACAAGCAAAAATATCTGCCAGTGGAGTAAGAAAATTAGTCTTGTTTAGCCTTCGAATTAAGGTTATTTTTCTTACCCCATTGACAGATATTTTCACTTGTTTTAAGCAAAAACTAACAAAATTTGGATAATATTTTCAGGAAACAAGACATAATATCTTAAGTAATTATTCTTCTCAAGTAAACGCATCCTGATTCAAGAATTTGTAGATATTTATACTAGAAAACAAGACAAAAATACTAAGGAAGAAAATAATTTTTTGCAGTGTAACTAAAACTACATGCATTCAGGAGATAAAGAAATCTGGGAAGAGCATTGACAGGAAAACATCTGTAAACAAAAGCGTCCCGTTTATCATCACACACACACACACACACACACACACACACACACACACATATGCCCATCCAGAGACCCTTCCACACCAGAAATCACACTGGCAAAATGGGAGCAAATGAGAACGAACCTCCGAACTCGCGAAAGGTTCACGCAGTGCTCCTATTATGAGTGTGTGTGAGCCTCGGGGAGTCATCCGGCACAAACACATCTCACATCGTGTCTCTGTTCCCTTTCTTTTTTGTGTCATGCATTCAGAGGAACAAGGCAGAGATGTGTAATTACTTGTTTGAGGCATTGTGTTTTCAACAGGTGTGAAATATGTGCGCCTCCTCCCCTCTGCTTTTTCTTTTCATCTCTGTTCTTCTCCTCTTCTTGAACCTCACGTCCATTTTTCCTCGATCCTTTCTTCTCCCAGGTTTTTTCTCGCTGTCACATATTGTTTCTCTCTCCTTCCCCTCATATCCCCCCTGTCAAGTTTTCCAGGTTGTTTTTGACCTTCTCACACACGCCTAAGTTTCCTCCCCTTCTTTAAAGTGGTTTATCTCTTTTTTGCCCCCGGCCAAAATAACAACAGCTTATTAACCTCGATTAGCCCTGCCAGTTTTTCTTTTCAGAGCTGTTCTTCTCTTTTCTCTCTCTAATGCACTCATTCTTCTTCTCATCTAAAACTCTACCTGAAACACACACACACACACATCGATCCTGACACACCTTTTCCCCAACCCAAGGTCACAGTAATCATCCAAGAGTCTGTGTTAGATCAGTAGCAGGGTGTGGAAGAGTTTAGCAGTGCATCTCCAAAATCCTGATCCAGCGCAGCATTAAAAACAACAGATATACTGAAATCTTCCATTAAAGTCTTATAAACATTGACTGACATCTTATTCTTATTAGAACTGTCTTTTGTTCCAATGCATAACTGGATAAGAGCACCCCGAGGAACGTTTTATTGCCCCAAGGTTTCAGAGCTCAGAAGACTCTGTATTG